CTTATTCCAATGAGCCATCTCCCCGCTTCAGCTATCAATATGAAATCAACATTTTTGGATGCAAGAACACCAGCAATTTTATATGGCTCAACTTGATATTAACTGAAAACATCAGGAGTTTTCACATTTATTTCTTCTACCAGAGAAGAAATAAAGCTAGAGCAGATGTTATTCCCTCCCTCCCTTCCTCCTTCCATTCATTCATTCCATGAATATTTACTGAGATGTTACTTGTCAGACCTTCAGCATGGGAAAACAATGTGAAGCAGATATATAAGACATCTGCTGTCATGAAACTCACACGCGTGAGAGGGAGTCACAAGGAAAATTAATCAAATAATGTCAAAGAGTAACCTGGATTGTGATGCTATTAGCATGAGGATCCCAAGTCCTAGCAACTAACTAGAAAGATTCCTGAAGACTGAGTAAATGGGAAAATCAAAGAAGGTAACAGTTGAGCAGAGAGATTGACAATAAGAGCCAATAAGTGCTCAAACAGATGAGAGAAAAATATTCTATCCATATGGAATAGAAAGTACAAGAGTTCTTAGTTCAGAATGATTCTAGGATGTTCATAAAAAGGAAAAAATTCGCAATGGCTGTAGAGAGATAGGCCTGAGAGTCTAATATGAAATAAGCCAATCCCAGCTCTTGGGAGGATGAAAACAGGAGGATGTCTACAAGTCCAATCTGTGTAGTGAGACCTGTAGATCCTATACCAAATACATAAAAATAAATAAATAAAATTGGATTTATTTTTTAAAAAGTCAAAAGAATAGATTTGAGAGGGCATGATAGATGCAGGTGTCTATACAGCAGACTGCTGTGCTCACTGAGTGGCCTTTACAGGTGACACCTGGTAAGTTGTGCCCTCCTCTCCAGAGCTTCCCTTGGTCCAAACTGCCTTGAAGGACTGGGGATATAGCTCAGCAGTACAGCATCTGCCTGGCAAGCACAAGGTCCTGAGTTTGATTCCCCGAACCAAGAGAGAGAGAGAGAGCCAAACTTCCTTGGAGGTTATGCCCTCTCCCCAAGGGGTTGGAAAGATGGATGGAGTACAGTTTGTGAGTAATTCAGGGCACAAAAGTCAGCCCCTCCCTCAGGATACTGTTCCAGGGACTATTGATATTCTAGAGCTCCTTTCTGGTCTCCAGCTGAACCCCTAACCTGCTTAGGTCTGTTTCTTCCCATCCTTCTTCCTACCTAGTCCTTCAGCCTTCTCCTGAGAGGTCTCCTTCAAGAATCCATTTGTATAAGAATCATCAAGTTCTGCTTTAAGGGAACCTAATCTATGATGATAAGGCATGTGAGAAGAATAATACCTCGAGGGGCCAGGGAGATGGCTCAGTAGAATAAGTGCTTGCCTGTCAAGCACAAGAGCCTGAGTTCAATCCCCCAAAAAAACTCAAAATGAAAAAGCAATATGTATAACTTTTAAGATTGAGTCCTTCCTTTCCTCCTCGTCCTCTTCCTCTTCTCCGTCTTCTTTTGCTCCTCCTCCTTTTGCCTCTACCATTTCTTTTAGACAGGGTTTCACTATATAATTCAGGCTAGCTTTAAACTATGTAGCTCAGGGTCCCTCAAGGTTGTGGTGATCCTCCTGCCTCAGTCTCCTGAGTGCTGGGATTATAGGCATGTGCCATCATGCCCATCTTGAGCTTTTTTTTTCCTAATTATTCAGTTTTAATGTGACTGGAACCAAATTTCTATACATCTAAGACTGAGGAGCCATTATGGTGGGCTCTCCATATCTGTGAGTTCTGCCTTCAGAGATTCAACCAATCATAGGCTAAAAATATTTAGAGGGGCTGGAGAGATAGCTTGGTGATCTAAGCACATGCCTTACAAGTAGAAGGATGGGAGTATGATCCCTGGTCGCATGCCGTGTTAGCCCTGGAACCCTGAGTGCACCATGCCATCCCTGAAACTAGGCATGGTGGTGCATGCCTGTACTCCCAGTGCTGGGGAGGCTGAGATAGAAGAATCACTATGAGTCTGAGCTGCATAGCAAGACCCTATATCAAATAAATAAATAAAATAAAATATTTTAAAAGTACTTAGAAAAAATAATAAAAATAACAATATTAACAATAGAAATAAGGGGCCAGGGAGATGGCTCAGTGGAATAAGTGCTTCCCTGGCAAGCACAAGGGCCTGAGTTCAATCCCTGGTTCCGCCAAAAAT